ATTTTTACAGTCTTTATTTTACAGTTAAAATAAATGTTTATCAAATAAAATCTAATGTTACAATTAGTCAAAGATCCCTTTAACACATTCAATATTAACTCCTGAACTGAAATCATTTCACTGTTGTTGTTTAACCAAGGAAGTGTACCTGCTGTCATTTTTGATGACCTCCACACTGCTTCTTGGGTCATAAATAAATTTTTCCAGACAGCCGTCTCTCTGCAGCCCGTTCAGTGTTGAACAGTGAACGTTGGCCTGAGGGGAGGTGCACCAAGCACACGTGGAGCCTGAGCGGATGCACTCGCTGTAGCTGGAAGCGGATTTCAAACATGTTTTTTCGTTGGCTCGGCTGAGACCGAACAGARGAAGCAGCCAAAAACAGAGCAGCTTCACAGCCATCCTCTGGTCAGTTAGATGGTGTTAAGTTACACATTTGCTCCTGCATAGACAGAAACCACCAGGCAGCAATAAACCACAATGACTTGAAGTAAAACAACCTGAAACGATGCAGAAACTGGGCAGTGATGTATGTTTTTTCTGATAATAATCTGAAAGAAAAACGGAGGAGTGTTGGAACATTACCTGATGAATCCACAGCCTTTGTTTGTGTTAGAAAATCCACTTCTACAAATGGAGACCCTGCTGTAAACTGTATCTGCTGTAACTGGTCTGGCTCTGATCTGTGAAACTTTAATTAATTAATTAATTAATTAACAACACAGAGCTGTGTTTGTAGGAGATTGGCAGGATTTCATTGATCAAGTTGCTCACTGCAAATATTGACAGATGGGAGTCAACTATTGAAACTTCAGACTTTGAAATGCATGCGTGGCTGTGAAGAACACAGCAGTGACCAGATGTACAATAATTATCATATTTGTACAATAATTTTGCCCTCTGTACGATCAGTGTTTCCTAAAATCCCATAATGCACAATAATTTGACCGTTTCAATGCATCACTGAGTTCACCCGACGCACATCTGTCTGACATGAGAGGTGGCAGGATGCAGAACACAGTGCTGCCAATTTAGCAACTGTCGCTATATTTAGCAAGTTTTCAGACCCCTCTAGTGACTGTTTTTCAGAAAAGCAATTAGTGAAAATCTCTTTCTGGTTTTATTGAGACTTTTGTAGTCTCTGACGTTAACACAGCTCTGACTGATTAATGTAAAATTAACCACTGCAATAAAATAACTTTGTCTCTTTTTGCCGGTTCTAAACTCGAATAWAAAGTAGGTTTAGAACTGTGACAGTAAAAGGAAAAAAAAAACAAGGCATCACAGAAGAAACTTTTTTTTTTATTTACCGACATAACGTTTCTCAAGACTTTACTCGTCTCTGGCCAGTTGAGTACATTTTCTAGCAAAAAAATAAAAAAGTGTAAAGGAATTTGTTATCAATTTGATAATCATCCAGGCAAAACATCATAAAAGCTCATTTAAAAGAAATAAAACTGATTTTCAAAGCTTCCTGTTTGAATTTCCACAGTACTTAAATACATTTCTCCTCTAATCAGAAGCACAAAAACACTACAATGACTTGTTCTCTTTTTCAATTTCATTATTGTCATTTTATCTAATATTTACTTTTATCTGCAGAATCCCCCTCGGCTCCTTGTTGTTTTGTGCTTTGTATTTGTTTACAATACATTTTTTTGTAAACCGAACAAACAAAAGACATCCATTTGCTACTTTGCTTACTGAAGAGTCAGTGCTTTCTATCTTAATTATAAATAAAGAATGTGCAGTTTTTTGGATGCAGGTCATTTGTAAGCTGTGGCAGGAGGTATTTGTAATTCTGACCTAGCCTGGCCCTTGYCTTCCTACGCAGCTCTGCTCARTTCTAGTTTCCCTTCACTGCTCYGTCTGGGACTTCTCCCATCGAGATGGATTTTGTTGGCAGATTTTTAGCCGGGTCAATCAGAGAACAGGACGTCTATTTTCTGCACAGTGTCTGCTTGTAGTTTATTTTACCTGGACCAATCAGAGAACAGAAGGAGGAGTTTTGAATGATGTCGATGTTCTGCTCAGTGTCTGCTTGTAGTTTATTTTACCTGGACCAATCAGAGAACAGAAGGAGGAGTTTTGAACGACGTTGACTTTCTGCGCAGTGTCTGCTAGTTAGTTTAGCATATGGCAGTGGAGGAAGTGAATGAAGCCAGTCTGTGTTGATAAGGCTTCAAAATTAAAATAAATTTGTCTGACAAAGCAGCAGCTCTCATTTACAGTCGTCTCGTTCGGCTCGGTGTATTTCTCCTCTCAGTAGGGTTGTTTACAGCATACGCGATTTCCGGTTAGCTTCKTAGCTTAGCCTCCGTCACAGCAACAACACACACATGCTTCAGCAGAGGCCACACCTCCTGCAAGAAACGATTGTCTATGCTTCAAGTCCAGACCCTTGTGCGTAGCAAAGTGAAGGACAGGGTCTGGTTTGAACCAAGCTAATTTTGACCCATATTTAATGCGAATTGGAGGCGTGCAATAATGTTCCTGAAAATACTTAATTTTAAGCTGCGATACTTCAACCTTTCCCATCTTGCAACACTGGCAGTGACATGTGGAATGAGATGAACTGCAGTCTGATCTTGCATCTAATTATGTGATGAACATGCTGCCTCTGTTTGTTTTCTCACAGTCGTTAAAAGCCATCCTGACCCCGACGTTCCTGCTGGTGTTTGATTTTCGCAGCCTGGGACTGGAGCGTTGGTTGTTGCTGGAGCTGGCCTCGCAGCTAGCATCACAGACGCACCCTCTGCCCTTTGAGTTCAAGGCACTGGAGGCCATCCTGCAGCACAGGGTGGGACACATGTATCTGAGGATGTTACGAGATACAGTGACTTGTTGTTTTGCTCACCGTCTATCTGTTGACAGGTAAACACTTTACAAACCCAGCTGAACGAGCTGGAACCAGTAATACTGGACACTCTGGAGTTCCTCGTGGACCCTAAGATCCTTTCAGCTGATAGAAGTAAGCTGCATATACTGTTACAGAACAGCAAGAGGTAAAGTACACAAGCGTTTGTTGTTTACAAACAGTAGAAGCGTTAAACCCAAACATCTCCACGTCTGATTTGTGTTTCCTGTCCCTGACAGCTTATCGGAGTTGGAAACGGACATAAAAGTTTTTAAGGACTCTTTGCTGAAGATCCTGGATGAGGATGAGATCATTGAAGAATTCTGTCTCACCAAATGGACTGACCCAAGAGCTTTGTATGTTGATCTGCAGTCACATTTATGTTAAACAAAATGAACCTAAATCACATTGTGCACTTGTTGTGATATAAGGTAAAGAAAAACACTGAAGGGGCAAAGTTTGCTTCTGAACGACCTCTTCTCTCCTTTAAGTATTGTTTTGTTTTCGTGTGTACTCAGGTGTTCGGGTCAGATTTGTTTAAGTTTTAAGAGTTGAAGAAATCTGTTTGTCTAATACTTGTGAAGCATTTGTAATGCATTTAATTTCTGGATCTAAATGTCTTCAGACATGATCAYAAAAGAGGCTGAATTTTATATCTGTTTTTATCAAATCAGACACTTTATGTTTAACTACTTCGTCAGTGTGATAAAGTAACAAACAGCTTTTATGGAGAGTTTTGGGTGGGGGTGGGGGTATGCTATTTAACAGTTAATGTCAACTTTTTATTCTCAGCTATCAATACTTTCTTATTTTTAAATCGTCCTCCGTTATTTAGCAAGCCAGGGCCTTACTAGAGCTATTGTTTTATTTTATCTGCAATTTAAGGGCTTAAATTTTTTAGAGCCAGTCAAATTCAATATAAATGGCCATTTTTAATTTGGGTCACCTGATCTAAATTTGACAGACTGGTAAATGTTTTACGAAACAGATAAAACCTCACAGAAAACCTGGAGTATAATACTTATAAGATTTTTTTCTCTAACCAGCATCTTAAAAATTGTTTCTGACAAATTTRTAATATACTAACAACTTTTTTGAGAATTTTAGTATATATATATATTGAATCTAGCAATATTTGTGTATCTGCTTTTTAGAGAAGAGAACAGTTTGGGAATTGACCACGCCGAGGAGATGGAGCTTTTGCTGGAAAATTTCTTCATGCAGGTCAAGCCAACAGCACTGTGATTCACAAAATGACATATCTGACTGCACTAATGTCCTCTTAGCTAAAAGATCAGTTATCCTTCTTCATTTTTAAAGTATTAATGTCATTAATAGTACATTTGATAAACCATCASTGAGTTGTTATAGTACTTCTAAAAAGTAAGTTCAGTTTTATTCATTTCAAACATTAAYATAATAAAAATAAATAGGTTTTGTAGTAGATCTTAAAAACAAGAACGACCCGTAATGTGATAATGCATTGTGTCTATTGAACAAAAATAAATTCTAAAACACAAAGCCCTGTGTGAATGACAAGGGATACTCTTGCTAGCTTTGTAGGAAGAGTTGGTAGCAGTTAAGTGAGCTAAATAAATAAATAAATGGTTAGGAATAAGTGATTATGTGCAGATGTGAGCAGGTCTGTAGAGGCAGAACTGCTCTGCAGCATGCAGTTAAAATACTGAGGAAGAAAGGCTGCAGCATTGATATCAGAGAGGCTTCTCTTTAATCTAGGAGTGGTGAATTCTTGTTCCAGTGAGAAGAATTACCGGTATTCACAAGTACAAACATTTAGGACAACTGCGTGTCTTTTCAGGTCAGACCATTCAGTGCTCAGAAAACTGCCCAAAACTCTACAGTTCTCAAAATGTTAAGTGTCAAAGTTCATGAAAATTAGTGCAAGAAGACTAAACAGGTAGGAATAGTTGGGAAGATTTGTCACAAAATAGTCTTTYCCCCTCAACAAACAAATGCAAGCATTTTTAAAGTTAGATATTTTCAAACTGAGGATGTTTTGATCACTGTGTTCTGGTTAAACGTAGTGTAAATGTTAGTTTGGCTGTAGTTCAGCTCCAAACTCAGCATCAGCTTATACTAGTTGTCAAGCAGGGTGGTGGGAGGTGATGGTTTGGGCTTGTTTGGCAGCCTCAGGACTAGTGCTGGGCGGTATACCGGTTCGTACCGAATACTGCTTTTCATTTTTGTTATGATATGAATTTTCTGAATACTGACATACCGGTTTAAGCCTGAACACGTGCGGAACGTTTCATCGCGGCCGCCAGTGAACTATTTCTCGGGGGACACTTTTCCTCGCTGCACCGCTATGTGCGTTAGCATGCTAATGTTATTGTTGCAGCCGCAGCGGCGGGTGGCGATTCCACTGCTTATATTGACTGACGTTAAAAAAACATCCCGTTTTCGCCGTCGCTGAATGTAGTAAACACCTCTTCAGTGACGTCCACGATTAGATTAAACACGCGACTTTGATATGGAGATGTGGAGACGCATAGAGACTTTAGCGTGCTTCTGTTGTGAAAAGGCCGGGGGTGGGGGGGTAGTGGAACTGAGTTGTCTGGTGTGCAAGGTGAGTCGTGCTGTTCATCTTTATTAAATAACATAAAACAATATACCCTATAATAAACTTTTCTTAACCCTCCTCCTTCACTACCGGACCAAAATGCATCACTACAGTCTCCAAWCATGAGGAGAAAAAAAGACGTTTAGAGGAGGGAAACAGAGACACAGACAGAGGTACAGTAAAAGAGAAAAGTCAGTAAGCAGTGTTTGTACATTTTATTATCAGCTGACCTGTGATGAAAAGAAAAATGCCGTGAAATACYGTGAAACCGGTGTAAATGTTGAAAATACCRTGATATAAAATTTTGGTCATACCGCCCAGCACTACTCAGGACCCGGAGCTCCTTGTAGTCATGGATTTGACTCTGAACTCTTCTTAACATCAAAATATTCCAGAGTCAAGTATGAGAACAAGGTTAAATGATCCAAATGTTGAACTGAGCAATAAATATAATGATAAAAAAAAGAATCAAGGGA